AAAAGGGAAAACCTGTAAATCATTTCACTCATTGAGTGAGATGATTTACAGGTTTTCCCTTTTCGTCACTCATTTGTGAGAATAAAATTATTGAATTAACGCATTTGTAATAAGTATTCAAGTTTGTAACATTTATCTTTATATTATTCGCATTAATATAGTGGCGGGTATAAAGTTACATTTGTTGTTAAATATGAAGCTACGAATAATTTGTTGTAGCGCGAAGTATTGATATTTTTGCACATGTCAAACGTTACGGTAATCCGGAATAAGCAAAAAATTTACGGCATAGGTCAGATGCTACAGCATAAGTCAGATGTTACACAACTGATCCTTCACCCGATGTGCAACATATAAAAAATCATTTTATACGTTGCACACCGTCACGTATTTGTTAACTTTGAAACTCCCTAATGATTCAAATTTTAATTCTTTTTTTAATTGCATAAAAACATCGATGTAAATTTTAAATTACGGGTTGTATTAAAATGTAATTACTGAATAATGTGTTTTCGCTATATTAGTGCACATAAAAAAATTGGGATATTTTATGCCAAAATAAACCAACAAATTTGATAACAGATTCAAAAGAAATATACGAGTTGATTCCATATATTGCTTCTGAAATATTCAACGGTGAAAATATACAAAGGCATCAGAAATCTACAGCTTTGAAATGATTACCATAAATTCTCGAAATAGCGTTATTTCGAATTTTGGCCAGAATTAAGCTTAACTCGGGCCAAAATTCGAAATAACGCTATTTCGAGAATTTACGTTATGTGGGAAATGATAACTGGCCAAAAGCCCTTTTATGAATTTCTTATTTTAGATATACTTAATGGTCTTCATCCAGAAATCATCAGCAACTTACCACAGCTTTATATTAATTTAATGAAAAATGGTCATTAAACAAGCCAACTCCTGAAGACATCAATACGTAGTTCCATTTATAACTTTATTTAGAAAAGAAACATTTCCCAGAAAGTACCTATAAAAAAAATAATTACACAAGTAATATATATTAGCAGACTACTAAGTTTTTGGATTAACACTGCACTATGGATAAAATTAAAAAGCAGTATTAACAAACCGATTAAAAATGATCAATCGTGAAGCAAAAGCACCCGGATCGCATATTCACTTCAAAGCTTATCAACACACGCAATATACTCCAAAATTATAAGACAAAATTTCACTTTAACAAAAATAAAATTTACAAAATTTACTATAATAATTCTTTTAATTAAAGTATAAACATCAAAAATAGATATTAAAACGCTTTTTTTAAAATTTAAATTTATATTTAAAAGATTATAATAATTTTTTATAATTGTAACTGTATAGATATTAAAAAGTTTACAAAAAAAAGACAAAATATTTCAATCGAAAATTAAATATCACTAATTTTGATCAATTTAATTCAAGGTTTATTATGTTTTACAATTCGTGTAAAGTTAGTAATTATTGATATGGCAATCAAAGTTACAAGGGTTGTTTTATTCTTTTGTCTTGAATTACTGTATATATCTTTTTTTTGAACGCTTTCTGGAACCTCCCTAGTGTCACCAACTTAAAAAATTTCACTCAAGTCAAATTAAAACTCGAAATCAGGTATAACATAAAACCAAAACAAAATACCCAAATCCTAATGCTGGTAGCGAAATTTTTTTAGACTGGTAACACTAGGGTCTCACGTATTTTCAGAGAGTTATATGTCTGAAGATAATTTGCTATACCTTCGATTGTTAGTAACGCTGGTGTCTTTGGATAAAGGATACGGATAAACTCTGTTTTATCTGAATTATAGACGGATTCGACCACTAAGTAAAAGAATTCATTCTTATCCTGTAATGCTAACTGGCGATGTTACCCAAACTATTTAGAACATCCCGAACTACGTGATGAATAATATCGCATGAGATATTTACTAGAGGTGCAGGCGAATCGTCCCAATGATGTTACGGCAATCATTGGGACGATTCGCCTGCATCTCTAGTATTCAGGTATTTACCACCTTACTGTTATATCTTATCGTCATACCAAGCTTCCTTTTTGAGTTTGTATTACCAGCGCAAAATAAACAAACCACAATCGTACCCAATTATGGTAAAGATTGTAGCTGAAGCTGGTGAAATAATTTCACGACTATGGTAAAATTGGGGTTGAATTGGTGAAATTGATTTCACCAGCATCTCTCTAATTGCAGAAAAAAAGGTCGTACTAAATATAAATCTCCTATCAATATTTCATAACGGAAACATCAAAAAAGCAAGAAATAAACATTTATATAGGACAATCTTATGATCATTTGTACTTTTTTTTAACTAATATTAATTATCCCATATATTCATGTTTTATTCTTTGTTAACTCTATACTTAAAAATTTTTATGCCATTAAAGTAAACATGAAACTTTGTTTTATTTTACCATTTTATAAGTTTGCCGTGCTTTTTTTATATGTCTTTTTCATATTCATATTGAAAAAAAAGGTAATGAGTCAGGACTCATGCCACCTATCGCCGACTAAACCAAATAAACTTATCGGATATTATCCCGCTTATAAACTTAATTTAAAACTGGGGGCAGAGTTTACTATCAGTCCATCAATTGATTATTTAAACTTTATTGGTATGCGAAATTAAAGCTTTAAGTCTATTTAATTACAATTAATTTTAATAAGTTAATTAATATTTATATAGCATTTGGCCAAAATGACCTTGTTAATAATGGCAGAAATAATAATAGTGGTGGTGACCCTTTGGTATTTTTTAACAATCAATCTTCCAAATTTAATGATCTGTTAAATTATAAGACAAAAAATAATCTACAATTTAAGGTAGGTAATA